GGCGGCGGCGCTGCAGCTTTTGAGCTGCTGTAGCAGGACAGGAGCGGGACCGGAGCGTGCAGCGCTGCGAGGGCAGCGCCTGACGGGGCGCGGACGCCCCTCTCACCTCCTCCTCCTCCTCAGCCCCAAAGCTCGCGTCGGTGTCTTTGCCGTCCTGCCCCACGGAGCTGGGCTGTTTTTCCCGCCTGAGTCAGGGAGCGAAACACGCCGTCAGGGTCCGCCCGGGGCAGCAGCGAAGGGCTGGGGGTGAAGCGGCGGCAGGTTCCCCTCCAACCCCGCCGCGGCGTCTCTAAGGGGGAGCGTCCCGCGGCACTACGGGCAGCACGGAGAGGTGACGGGGCGACCGTCGGCACCGCCGGACAGCCGCGCCGCCAGCGCGCTCCCCTGACGAGAGCGAGCTAACACGCTCTCAGTGCTCCTCTGCGCCTTGCCCAGGAAGGCGGTGGGGGGCTGCAAAGGAATTGGGGCCTGTGGGAAGAGGGGATGCAGCCTGCCCGACAAATCCCATCCGGAACAAAAGCGTCCTGCCGATTCCAGCTCGGAAGCTCTGTTACAGAAACGGGAGGGAACGTTTCGCTTCAATCCCACAGCACGGAAATAATCGTCGGAGACTTTCAGAAACCTCCGCGGCAGCTCCAACCTCTGCTCCAGCCCAAGCGGAGCCTCTTCCAGGTCCTCCGCCTCGACCTCCCCGAACAACCGGCAGCATTTCCTACGAGCGGGGCTCGCGGCGGGGCAAAGCGGAGACAGGACGGTCCCTTCAGAAAGCCCGTTCGCGTGGTTGTAGCCAAGCAGTCGCTCGGAGCGAGGTGCAGCACGAAAACCTCGCCTTTCCCCGAATCCCCAGCCTGGGCGCAGACGGGAGGGGGCCGTTAGCCCGCCTCTCCGCAGCGGAGAGCGTGTTCAGCGCCGGCGCCAGGCTGGCAACAGGCGAGATACACAAGGCAGCGCGAGGACTGCGGCTGCGAGGGCAGAGCCCCGCTTGCAGCAATAAGGGGAAAGACAAATCGCAAGCTGCTTTGCCACACGGGACGGTTTCTTGCCCGCTAAGATTTACTCTGCGGGACACTGGGTGCTGCCCTCTCCTCACGCAAGAGACGCAAGGGCAAAGCCCCGCGGCAAGAAAACCACTGGATGATGCCACTGGAAGAGCGCGTGGGGACGAGCATCGCCCCAGGCCCTCTGGGCTGAAGCAAGTCCCACCGGGGGCCTTTCCCGCAGCCACAAAAATCCTTCTGCTTCAAAGAACTTTTCACGGGGCTGGAGACTGACGCCGCGGCAGGTTTTGCTCCAGCTCAGAGCTGAGCGGGACCACGGACCTTCCCACAGGCTCCCGCTGCAGGCGGGGCAAGTCCCAGCCCCGTCCCCAAAAGAGGAGGTGCAGTTCGCACGTGCTCTCGGGGCGGGAGCTACCGAACCTCGGCAGGAAAGACAGCGGGGAAGGACTCGGGCCTCACCGCAAGGCAGAGGGCGGGAGCGGCAAGGCAGAAGCACGCGGCAGCGTTTTCTGCCAAGGCAGCGAAGGCGCGCCGGAAGGCGGCAGCCCCGAGCCCCCGGCAAAGCCGCCTCCCCGGGGTGGGGGCTCTACTTACTTTTTGTTGGAGATGAAGTCGAGCGTCTGGTAGACCAGCGAGTAGAGATACTCCACCTGCAAGACAGGGGCCAGACTCCTGGAGAAGGAGAAAGCGGCTCCCAGAAAAGCTACTCCGGCCGATGCCGGGACGAACTGCCGCCCTCCTCTTATCTCCAGGCAGCGAGAGTTCGATTCCTTGATAATCTCGTCGTTCTTTTCACCGTCTGAGCCATTCTGAGGCCAGATTTGGGGAGGCAGGGTTTTTGTGTTCCGCCCTCTAGAGAAGAAAAGTGCTGAACAGCAAAATTCTTGCTCTTTTCCAGGCTGCCCACCCCAACGCGTATAAAGCGCTTGAGTTCGGGAATTATAAATCTCTACCCTTTCATATCAGTTCGTCATTGCTACGTTCAAGTCTTTCCAAACCGGTTCCCCAGGGCGGCCCCCGCGCAGCTCGGCCTGAGGATCACCGGCTGAGGGATCGCGGAGCGGGCAGGGCGACAGGACCAGGGCCAGGACGCGGCAGCTGCCGCCGGCTTCTTCCTCACCTTCCTTGGACGCAGGAGAGCCCTGGATCAGCAGGGCCGCTTCGATGAAGTTCATGGTGGTTTTGCCGTTGTCGAAGGAAATGCAGATTTGATCCAGCTGCGAAACACGCAAAAGGAGGAAAACAGGACGCTGATTCGCAGACGGGACTCGGGGGTAGCACAGCGCGAGGGAAGAGTCAAGAGCGCCGGCAGCGCACGGGGGGGCCGCGGGGGCACGGACAGAAAGCCGCCCCCA